ATGCCCAAGATCCTGAGAGGAGAATGGAGGAGAAGGGATTGCAGTGTGGCCCTCCCCCCTGGGGGGGGGGTGATTTCTCACTTTCTCTCTGTCTGTCTGGCGAGTGCACGTGCCCTACAGCAAAATCCTCTCCAAAACAAAATAAAACAAAACAAAAACCCATAAGTAAATAAAATTTAAAAGGAAAACGAAAAGGGTCCATCCAGGCCCACTTTGGCCCCATAAAAGAGTCACACAGAATCCCGCCGCCAGCCGCAACTAAGAGTTAAGGCCAGAGGCAGAGACCTGTGGGTTGGGGGTAAGACAGTGGCCGAGAAGGAAGGAGAATGTTCTGGAAGGAGGCCTGCTGCCACCCCTGCCAGGCAGACTCCTCATGCTGCTTTATGGAAGAGTTTATTGCTGCAACTCTGTCCACTCCCTGCAAAGCGGGTGGTAATAACCTGTCTGTCTGGGCTCACTCCAGACCCTTAGGCCCGGGGGCACAGGCGTGGTCTTGGGCTTGCCTCCACGCTCTGGCCCAGGGCCTTGTTATGAGCGAGCCCGTTATGAAGGTACACTGTGGGTACAAGAGGGCCGATGTCTCAACTGCCCCCTACTCCCCAGGGTTCACCTTCCCCAGACCCAGGCTAGGCCTCGCACCTGCGATGTATTGAATCCTGTCCGCAGGACGTAGGCCACACACCCGTTGTCAACCGCTGCGGAGGCAAGCAGAGTGACCATCATGGAGTCCCCTGGCCCCAACTCCCTCATTATCAAGCAGACGCAGGAGGAGGAAGAGGGGGTGGGAGCTGGGACACCCCAGATGCCCGAGAGGCACCTACGCTTCAGGCCTGTCGTGGCCTTCTGGGGGGGGATGTGCTGCACCACCTTAGTGCCCCCAAAGATGACGTGCAGCCGGGAGTCGGTCTGGAGGTCTAGTATCCGGTTTGGGCTGAGGTCTTCAATTGGTTCCTGCGGAGGAAGACAAGTGAACCTGGGCAACTGGCCACACCTTGGCCTTCTCCTCAGCCTCACCTCTGGAGAGCTAGACCCGGTGCTGGGAGGAGCCAGGCCGACCCTGGCAGGGTTCCCTGTCTCACCCAGCATATCTCACCAGTTTCTGAGTCCCCGCTCGTAACAGGGACAGGAGGCCCCATCTCTTCTCCCCACCTGCACCTACAGCATCTACTCCCTTTAGCCCTGAACCTGGTCTCTCCCAAGACTCACCTCCTCCTGGTTTCTTAGCCCACCTCCACTTGATATCTTAGGGTGCCCAGGTGTACCTGACGCCTTTGGCTTCCCTCATCATCTTCCCCGATGACCACCCAGCATGCCTTCATCCATGGTGCTGAGGCTATGGCCTCCCTGCCTCCTCTGTCTGAGCCTAGACAAGATCCTGACCCAGCCACAGCCTCTCCTGGCTGTTTCCTTCTTTTTTGCTTAGTTAAAAAGTCTATTCATCCATTTTGGGATAGCAGTTGGCGTAATGGCTGTGTCGTTGGACTCCCATGTAGTCAACTGCGGTTCGAGTCCCGGACCCGGTGGTTTAAACTCACACTGGGCGCATATGCAAGCGTGCCTAAGATCTCAAGAGGAGAATGGAGAAGGGATTGCGGCGTGGCCATCCTCCCTGGGGGGTGACTTCTCGCTGTCTCTCTGTCTTTCTGGTGAGTGCATGTGCCCTATAGCAAAAAACCTCTCCCTGTCAAAAAAGTTTATTAATCCATTTCTTTTTTTTTTTGAGAGGTTTATTTTGCTTTAGGGCGTGTGCACTTGCCAGACAGACAGAGAGAGACAGAGAGACAGAAAGTGAGAAATCACCCCCCAGCGGGGAAGGCCACGTTGCAATCCCTTCTCCTCTATTCTTTCAGGACTTGGGGCATGCACACACATGCACTGCTTTGTTTTTAAGGCCACTAGGTCCAGGACTCAAATAACTGCCTTAACCTTCACACCATCTGCTGGCCCTACACCTACAAATTTAAAATCCATAAATAAATCCATGAACTTAGAAATGCTGTTATTGTCTTTTCTTTCTCCTTTTTAATAAACCAAAAAAAAAAAAAAAGATTTTAATCACCCCCCAGCGGGGAAGGCCACGTTGCAATCCCTTCTCCTCCATTCTCCTCTCGGGATCTTGGGCACGCATGCACATGCGCCCGGCGTGAATTTTAAACCACCGGGTCCGGGACGCGAACCGTGGTTGACTACATGGGAGTCCAGCTACATAGCCATTACGCCAACTGCTGGTCCCATTAATCCATTTCTTCTGAGAGAAAAAGACAAACGCTCTTGACAAGGGCCCACACTGTGACCCACTCTGAGCCAGCACAGACCATGGCCATGCAAGCCACGGGCCTTCCCACGTGGGTGCAGCTGAGTAATCACTGCATCACCACCGGTCCCCACGTCCTTGGTGAGTGGGACAGCGGCACGCCTGCGTGGATTGAGGGGCCACCCCTCGACCCTAAGTACCTTCATCTGTGGCACCGACTCCCCCGTGAGCATGGCCTCGTCCACGATGCAGCGGCCCCGCAGCAGCAGCACGTCACAAGGAACCAGGTTCTCCTGGGGGGAGCGGCCTGTGGGGCAGGAGCAGGTCAGGGGTCAGGGTCATGGGCTTGGCCAGAGGCCCTGGGGCGAGGTCTCCCACTGGGCAGAGCAGAACCAGGCCTCACCAATGGAGACGATGTCCCCTGGAACGATCTCATCACTGGCAATGGGCCTCCACTTGCGGCTTCGGTAGACCTGGCGGGTGTGTGTGTGTGTCAGCACGGAAGAGGCGTGTGTGCCCTGCCCACCCCGGGGCTGCGCAGGGCTGCTCCCCAGACCTGGGGCTCCGCAGTGGCCACACCTGGATCATGTGAGGCTTGTTGCCCATCTTTCGGATCTCCGACATGTTCCGCATCTGCTGCTGCACCAGGGACGCCTCGAAGGCCACCAGCATGGACAGCGTGAAGACGCTGTAGTACCAGTACTCGTCCAGGCACCAGAGTCCCACGCAGAAAACCTGTGGGGTGCCGCCAGTCTTGTCCTGTGTCCTGCCCCCGGGAGCCCCACGTGGACGCCCACGGGAGATGGGTTGACGCAGTGGGGAAACTCTGCCCACAGTTCTTGCCCGTGAAGACGGGGAGAGGTTTATTTTGGGTTTGGAGATGGCAGGCGGGATTGGTCTGGCCCTGAAAACTCCCAGGAAGGTGCTATGGCCGTCTCTCCCCAACATTCACGTGCTGAGACTCAGCGGTGATGACATTAAGGGGGGAACTTAATACCGTCATGGTATTGCAAAGTGGAACCTTTGGGAGTGAGCAGGTGATTAGAAGGAAGCCCTTGGGATTGACTCCTAGTGGGTTTATAAGGACAGAGGAAATCAGGAGAGACACACGGACACAGGCCATGCTCTCCCACCCTCCACCGTGTTAGATGTAGCCAGGAGACCCTCCCCAGATAAGGTCCCTGCACCCTGCGCTCCAAACCGAGCGCGGTAAACCTTAATAACTTAAGGGATTAGGTTATCCGGATGCAAATGTTTTCTGCTACAAGCAATGAAATGAACTAGAACTAGAACAGAAGGGGCCCTGGGAGAAGGGCTGGAGCTGCTGGTTTACCTGAAACACAAAGAAGGGGGCTGTGGCTCGCTCCTTGAAAAGCTCCGAGAAGTCAGGCACTACCATCTCAGCCCTGCAAGAGACCAGACCCCACCTCCTGATGCTGGTGCCAGGCCTCGGAGGCTCGGAGGCCCCAGCCCGGATGCCTTTCCTGGGGAACACTGCAGGCCTTCCTGGGGGAGGAGAAGCCATGTGTGGGTGTCGGGAACCCCGGTGAATGTCCAGGTGGGAGGAGCCATTGGACTACCTGCTTCTCATCCTTGCCCATCCTCTGCTCAGGGCGGAGAGGCTGATCACCTCCAGCCCTCTGCTTTATAAAACATGAATCTACAACACTTTTTTTTTCTTTTTTTCTTTTTTTGGAGAGGTTTTTGCTATAGGGCGCGTGTGCTCGCCAGAAAGACAGACAGAGACAGAGAGAGAGAAAGTGAGAAATCACCCCCCAGGGGGGATGGCCACACCGCAATCCCTTCTTCTCCATTCTCCTCTCGGGATCCTGGGCACGCATGCACATGCGCCCGGTGTGAGTTTAAGCCACTGGGTCTGTGACGCGAAATGCAGTTGGCTACATGGGAGTCCAGTGACATAGCCACTACACTAACTGCTAGTCCCCACAACACGTTTTTCTGACAACTGCTAGACTGGAATAGGACAACTGGACCCAAGCGGGCAAAGTCCTGATGTCACATCTGGGACCTCTTGGAGCATGCCAGGCGCACACACATGCACACACCTGTGATACACGTTAAGACTAAGATGCTGAGACAGCAGATGGTGTGGTGATTGAGGTGCTGGATTCCCAAAGAGCTGACCATGGGTCGAGTCCTGGACCATCATGCTAGGCACAGGGGTGTGTGTAGCAAAAGTCCAAAGAGGGAAATGGAGAGAAGGGATTGCGGTGTGGCCATCCCTCCTTGGGGGTGATTTTTCCCTTTCCCTTTCTGTCTCTCTCTAGTGAGCATACACCCTATGGCAAAAATAAACAAATGAACAAAAAAAAAAAAGACCAAGATGGATCACTGCATATAGGAGCCCCCATGCCCCTTTGGGGGTGCTGTCTGTCTTTCTCTCTTGATCTCCCTCATGAAATAAACAGTCTAAAAGAACAAAAACCAAATCACACACACACAAACGCTCCTGAACAAGACAGCCCCCATTTGGTATCTCGTTGGGAGTCTGCGTTAGCAAGAAAAATGAGATGACAGAGAACACCCCAGGCCATTAATACAGTCGCCCTTGAAAGCAACACAGATGGGCAAGCGTTTCTTCCAGATCTCTGAATGAGATCAACAGTTGTAAACGTGGTATTTCTAATCTTAAGACAGGCTGAAATGAAAAGTAAAGAAATCTTACACACACACACACACACACACACACACACACACACATATATATTTTAAGAGAGA